GCCCTTCTTGCCTAAATTCTTGGATTTCTTGCTGTCTGGTTGTCTTAATCTCCATGATTCTGTCTCGCAGCACGGCCGTAATAACAGTCACGGAGGTGTCCACCCAAAAAGAGAGGCATTGTTTAAAAAATTTAGTTCCCCTTTTGAAAGAAAGGGATCGGCATGCTGCTTCTGACTGTCCTTCCCTTACTTAGGGAGAAATAGTGACATGCTCGCGCTCTAATGAAAGTCCTCTGTTGATTGCATTGTAGATGAGCCGGCTGCAGAGGTCTCCATTTCCATAGGTCAACATTATGGATTCGAAAGTCTCAGTGGCAGTTCGGTCCAAGTGACATGCCTTGTTTGGAAGGGCATATTTTGACTCCACAGGATAGAAGAGAGCAGCATACTGTGGAATTGTGCACAAGACTTCAGCACTATTGGCATTGAATACCCTGTTGCAGCAGTCACACTTCATTGACATGAAAATGCACCAAGATGGAGCACCAGTGATGCCAAAGATATGGAACAAGGTCTTGTTCTTAGACCAGTTATGCCTCTCATTCTTGAGTTTGCCAGAGCATTTTCCATCAGGACAGGGTACAGTGATTCAACATCGATTCCAGTCAACAAGGAGTAGTTTCTGGCAAACAATGGAGTGATAGTGTGGAGACTTGAATTGCTCCTCTGTGGAGTGAACTGTCATGGTGAGTCGTTCAAAATGTTGGTGGAATTGTGAATTCCTTGGCCGGATAATAGATTCTGACACAGCTTCAGCCAGTGCTAGCATAGCTAGTGTGCTTCCTTCTGGTCTTGTCTTCTTTCGACAAAGGCATTTCATCCTTCAACAAGAGTGGTGCTTTCGACAGAGAGAAGTGTTGTGCTGGTTGTGTTCCTTGTGGATGTCTTCTGTTGCCGTCTCGGATTGGCTGTTTTTGTTCTAGCAGCAAAGGATGCTTCTCCATTTTCTCATGTGGAATGCCTTCCAGCTTCCTCTCTCATTCAGTGGAAGAGGAGCACTGAAATGCCTTGTGAGTCTTCTGCTCTCTCTGATGGTTTCCATTGTCAGCTCATTCAAACCTCCTCTTCCTCTTGTTACTGTATTCTTAATACAGAGAACGTGGTGTGATCTTTTTGGGACTCTGAGACCAAGATGTCTGGCCTTACAGATGATACACTTCTTGAGTGGATCAAAGACTTCTGCTACCTCTCCTCCCAGTGTTGTTTGGGGTCCTTCTTCTCTGGCTCTCTTCGATCTGTTGTTGTTGTTGTTGTTGTTGGAGGCGAGTTGATATGCTCTCTTCTGTTGCGAGTTTCTCTGTTGACTTTGGCAGCCCATTCCTCCATTGTGAGTGGTAGCTGCTGCTGCTGCTGCTGTTGGTGGCTCCATGATGGTCTCTTTTGCTGCTGTTGCTGCTGCGTTTTTGGGCTGAAAATGACCGTCGAGTGAGAGCGGCAGGATGTCATGAGAGCGGCAGGATGTCATTGTCGATTGTCGATCCGACAGGCTTCCACGGAATCTGTTTCTTTTTTCGCGAAAGAAGAAAATTGGCGGAATAGGTAGCACAGTTTCCCTTGTAAATACTTAGAATGGTACGTTAACTTATGCTGATGTATTTGCTGACGTATTAGCTTGACTAGCCAATCACATTACTGCCTTCTACCGCTTTTGCCCTGGAAGGCACATTTAGGGGGGGTTAGGCACCCCGCAGGGGGCGGGAGGGGAAAAGAGAGAAGAGGAGGAGGAGGGTTAGATTCCCAGTTCCAGTTTGCGTGCCATTCCAGTCATCATGTCATAAGTACCAACCTGTCTGAAGAACCACCGGAGACTTAGACAAGAGGGGGTGATGGCAGGAAAGGATGAGAAACATTAAGTAAAGAGACATCTCCCCTCCTACAAAGGTAAAACGGTATTCAAAGTGTCATGCAATACATTCAAATCGATTACTTGGTTTTAACCCTCCCGACTTTTTTCTGGTTTTTGTTGACCCTCTCCCATTTCAGGGCCCCACTCATCCCATTTGGTAGCCGTGAAACCGATATCGACAATGAGCATCATGCGGTGGCCGACCAACTCTCCGCTGCATCCAACCACGATACCTCTCACAGCAACCTCGCAATGGTGGTCGATACACCGCCGGAAAGGCAGGCAACATGTTCTGATAAAAAGCAAATGGTAGCCCTGCGGTGAATGGTAACAGCGGTGCAACTGGTCGAGGTGCCAGTTGTTGTTGTTGTTGTTGTTGTTGTTGTTGTTGTTGTTGTTGTTGTTGTTGTACTGGTTGTTGTTGCCGTTGCAGTTGCGGCTGCATTTGAATTTGTTGGTTAGGCAGTTGACGAGCATGGCCGCTGTTACTTACACCATTGTTCCTAATTGTCGCGGCAGTTGGTGGTGGAGGAGGACGTTCTGGTGCTGGGCGATTTGAATTCAAATTGACAGTTGGAACCACTGGTACAGTAGTAGTGGCCACCGCCACTGTGGTTATCTCTGCTGGTGCAGTTGCTTGGCGACACAAATCGCAGGTGCAATGCTCGAACATATCGTATCGCTGTAAGTGCGGCTTTTGTTTAACCAGATATTCGGAGAAGAATCGCTCACCATTGTCGTTGGCTAATATTTCAACATTTTTGAACGGAGGAACAATGCCCACCATGATGGCCAAATTGTTGATAAAGCCAAGCTCCGTGTGGTTCCAGAAAGGCACCACACGCTCCCATGAAGCAGGAATAGGTTTGCACTCATCCTTCTGTCGAGTTGCAATGAGTAATCTCTTGTGGCGGATGGTAAGGTTGAATCTTGCTGTGCCACAAAGGTTGAGCGCATCACAAAGCGATCGACGCATGCCGCCATTGGCAAAGTGTGCAAATCTGTCGTGAAAAGATTCTAACTTCGATTCTCCTCTCCTCGACAGATACTCAATCAGCTGGTGCTTCGAATTGCCAGGTAAGATCTTGTCGTACATTTGTTCCAGTGGTAGCGGATCGGAAAGGTGAATTGCCTTGATCTTGCAGTTCTCAACAGCTGTTTTGGTATCAGCAGTGAACAAGGTAAATTTCTTCACTGGATCGATTCGACCTTTGGCAGGACGTTCGCTGTCGCTTGTGGTCACCTTGTAACGGCAGAACCATTCGTCTAACATCTGTACCATTGTTGCTGGTTCACGAAGTTGTTTCCTTAGATACTTGCTATATCGATCTCGGAATAGTCTGGTTGCTTGAAGATCAGCAATATCTTGGGAGCTGTGTCGCTTGCCAGAGATTGTGCCTTCTTTCAATGCTCGAATCAACCGCTCGAAGTCATCAGGTGCGTAGACATACAAGCATGACAACAGGCCGTTCATCGCATCATAGTAATCAATGTGTCCTTTTCTCATTGTTGACAGTATTCGTTTTTCGAAATGAAACAGGCCAAGTCGCCCTTTGATATTGGGAAAGAGTTTGTGCCAGTATTCTTCCTTGTTTGGCCATGTGTCACTGTACATTGCCACTGGTTTGAAGGAGTCTCTTCTGGCCAGCTGAATGGCTGCGTGGCTGAAGTGAATTGTCTTGGTGCTTGGAACCAGCACGGCGGAGGCAACTTCACCAGTTGAAGTTCCAACATCCCACACAGCAGCCGCACCAAGACTCTTTTGGTAGTTCTTGATGACCTGGAAGGTGTGGTCCTGGGCGAAGATGGTGTCACACTTCACTCCTTGGATTTCCCTCGTGTGTCTCAAGTTGTCACTGAATCCCCAATAGTTGCATCGACTTGAAGAAGATTCGTCGTACATGTCACGGATCGTCTCTCCCATGGGTGGAAACTGCTTGATGAACGTCCCATCTTTCTCTACATAAGCCTTCACTGGAACCTCCGGTGACTGTCTCTTTTGTTCCTTGGCCTTGGAAAGGTACGATGAGATCCTTGTCAAGTAGTCGCGATTCAATGCACTGAATAGTAACCGACTGCAGAGTTCCCCATTGCCATAGGTAACCATAATAGAGCTGAATGTTTCTGATGTCATTCTCGAAATGTGGCAGGTTTTTTGTAGGGCATATTTAGGATCAACTGGATAAAGATTAGCCGCGTGTGGTGGGATATTCACCAACACGGGCCCAGAATTCGCATCATACTTTCTCTTGCAGCAGGAACAGACCATGGGCATAATAACACACCAAGCTGGTGCACCATCGAGTCCAAAGATGGGGAAGAGTGTCTTATTCTTGGAGAAATGGGTTCTTCCATTTTCCAGTTTCCCAATACAGTTTGCATCGGGACACCTGATGGAAGCGATTCCGAATCTTTTCCAGTCAACCCAGAGAAGTTTCTGCCCAACTATGGAATGATAGTGAGGAGACAATTGCCCTGTTGCTTCTGGCACAACCATGGTAATTCCCTGGAAGTGTGTTTTGAACAAGGACGGATTCTTATTCATGGCTTCTGCAATTGTGGTGGCCAATGCCATAATAGCCAAGGGAGCGCTTTTGGCTTTGTTTTTGTCACAGAAGTCGGGGTCATCTACCAACTTCGTGATAGATTGACAGAGGAGTTCTGGTGTCATTGTTGCTGGTTTGGGAGGAGCTTTGGGTGCAGTCTTGGGTGGGGTTTTGGGTGCCGCTTTTTTGGATTGGGCTTTTGTGTTGCCCGCAAAGAACGCTGCTCCAGCTGCCGCTGTGGAATGTCGCCAGCTTCCTCTTTCCTCTGGTTGTAGAGGTGTTGTGTAGAGGGTGTTGAGCCTCTTCTCTTCAGCTTCGGTGTCGATTTGTTCTTTGGTGAGTTCCCCTTTCCCTTTTGTGAGGGTATTTTTGATACAGAGCTCGTGATGTCTTCGCTTTGGCAAAGTCAGGTTGTTGTGTCTTGCGTAGCAAACCTTGCAATCCTTTAATGCATCAAACGCAACCTCTCCAAACAGTGTTTGCTGCTTGCCTTTCTTTCTCTTCTTTGGGTTGTTCTTGGCAGCGAGCTGGTGTGTTCTTTTGGTCAATGAATTTCGCTGCTGACTTTGTCTTCCCATTATCTCAGTATTCTGAGGCAAAGGAACCAACACCTTTTTGTAGGGATTGAATACCTGACATGCAGCGCTCATGGTGGATGCTTTTGCTGTTTGGAAGAGATGATTTGGGCAAGTTAATGACCTTCAAGTGATCGGCAGAGCGTCATTGTCATTGAATTTCGATGGAATCTTACTGATCCATTTTCGCGCCTTCGAAAACATCAATCTGGAAGCACAATGGCTCCGTACGGTATGTGTCATTGATGTCTTGTGTTATTAAGTGTTATTGTGTCTTACCTGTGTCTTACCTGTGTCCTCCACCAATCATATACCTGCCTTTTGACCCAGAAAATCGACTGAAGGTGGACCGTTGGACATTGGATCCACTTTCACTACTAGTAGCAAAAATATTTATAGTAAAAATAATTCAACATCTTGGCTCCGTCGGTTGCACCCACGAGGACTCAAATAAATCTCAGCAGAGCTGCCAATGATTCATCAATGCTCCGGTCCTTGGCACTGCAAGGCTGAAGCTGTTGAAGACTGGCCTCCTCACTGACCATGGTATCTTGGCGAGTGGAAGGGAGATGAGTTGATGTGCAGAGCGAGTTGTGTTTGGAGTGATGAGATGCAAGCACTCTGGCGGCCCATCCGGTGCCAGCATAGATTCTTTGTTGCTTTACCCAGTACTACTGGTAGTAGTCTTCAGCCAGACAGTCACAGCTTCTGCTGTGAAAACGGAAATTGGTATTTTTACTCATTTTACTCATTGCCTGTTCGTTGACGAAAGCAGCAGCATGTTGCGTTGGTGACATGTTCAAGGACTGTGACCTCGCTAGCTACCTCGCATGGCAAATGAGCATCTTCTAACTAGCCCAGCATAGCCTAAGTAGTCACTTCCAATGTAAATAATATATATATGTAACTACCAGCTCGGCAAATGTGCTACATCATGTAGCCAAGCAAAACCAGAGTAGAGTCACATCTAAAGTAGATACCATGTACCTCCAGATGAACTGCACTGCCAATTGATATAAGCAAATGCCAACGATGCACATCAAAATCATGTATTCTCTAATTTCATTTATTTTAATATAATCCTGTGTATCGTATAACGATGCATTCTGTATCTATAGGGCTGACAGTGCGGCCACATCATCAACAATATGTCAGCTTCGCAAAAGGTTTCAAAATTGAATCGAATCGG